GGCAAGTCCGCCGACACCGAGCTGTCCAAGGGAGAGAACCGTCTGTACTTCATTACTTGCAACTCTTGCGGTTCGAGACGTTCCGTCACCGCCATCAAGACCGGTTTCTCCGCCCAGATCGGAAAGAGAAGAAAGATGCAGGGTTAAGCGACGACAACCAAATTACGACCCCACGGACCAGAAACGAGAAAAGAGTTGGAGAGGTGTTTCTTCTACGCTATTTACGTCCTTTAGCGTACTCTTGTCTTGTAGATATGACCTTCGCTGGCCCAGGCAGTGTGCACTGCGGCATTCACAGCTGCGGCGCTCCGGGTGGCCAATGGATTGATGGCACAATAGAGAAAATTGGCGTTTCCACCCTTAAAAATTGGTACGGTAGTCGGGCAGTAATGTCAAATTTCTTGATGATGCTCATGTCTTCGGCATTCTTTGAACACGCGTATCAGCATTAACCAGCAGTCTGTGGAAATCTACGACAGCAGTGACGCAGGCCGCGGACGTGTGTCGATGATGCCGCGTTTCGGCTTTCATACGGTGGGAGGAGTGCAAGGGCCGGAGGGGCAAGGCCGGCCGACCTCACATGTGCGGCGACCTATAGTCAACCACCACCACCACCACCACCACCACTTTCCTCGCCCAGGCACATGACTGATCAGTTCACGCGACCAACATCACATAAATACCAACATTGACGACTGCATTTCACATAGAACTTTGGCTGCAGTAAAAGTCTCTAACATATAATTCACAACATTCCAAAAACGGCACATCGCGGTTTTATAAAGCTTATCAATAACCCCTCAACCCCGATAAGAAACCCCGAGCATCTCAACTTAACCCTCAACAAGCAAAGCAATGACAGGCGAAACCCTCCAGCCGGGCCAAGCCGACCTGCCCTCGGCCAAGAGCACGGCGTCGTACTGGCACCGCGAGCCTTCCAAGACGCTGCTTGGCCACCGGACCACACGGGACCTGCCGCCGACCGCGGACGTCGTCGTCGTCGGCAGCGGCATCACGGGCGCGTTCGCTGCCAAGGAGTTGCTGGAGCGGGCTGGTGCCGGCGCTGGTGGGGAGGGGAAGAGGGTTGTTCTGCTTGAGGCGCGGGAGGTTTGTTGGGGGGCTACTGGACGGGTGAGTTCTTTCAATTTCTTGTGTATTTTGAGAATGTCTCGTTATGGAGGTTCTTCCATTGTTTGGAGGGGCTTAGACGGGGGTGACTTCCTTATCATCGTCTCACTCACTCATACACGTCATACTATCTATCCCCACCAACATCCCAAGCCCTCCGATTTACCTTGAAAAGGAACCTTTAGAACTAACTTGACAATCCAGAACGGCGGCCACTGCCAGCCGGTAGCATACAACCCAAACACCGCCATCGCAACCTTTGAGCTCGCAAACTACGCCCACATCCGTGACCTCATCGCCAACAATGCCATCCCCTGCGACTGGGTCTCCCTCCGCGGCGTTCACGCCCTGCTGACGCTCGATCTCGTCGACGCCGCTCGCAAGCAAATCGCCGCATTGCCGCCTCGCTTCGCGTCGCTCGCGCGCCTCGTCACGGACGCGGAGGAGCTCGCAGACCTCAGGATCCCGGACGCCGCCGGCGCCGTCGTGCAGGAGGAGGCGGCAAGCGTGTGGCCCTACAAGCTCGTGTCGTGGATCTTTGAAGATCTGCTGCGGAGGTTCGGAGTGGACAAGGCTGACGTGGACACTTTGACGGGAAACGTCGGGCAAGGCGTCTCCTTCAACATCCAGACCTCCACGCCCGTAACACGCCTCCAACACCTTGCCCCCTCAACCCCGTCCGGCACACCATCATGGATCCTCCACACCCCTCGCGGCCAAATCGCCACCGCACAAGTCCTCCTCGCCTCAAACGCCTACACCTCGCGCCTCCTCCCCCGCTTCGCAGACCTCGTCGTCCCCGTCCGAGGTCAGGTCGCCGCCCTCTTCCCGCCCCGGCCGCGCGCCGAGCTCGGGAGGAGCTATGTCTTCATGGCGAGCTCCGACGCTGCGAAGGGTGAGCCGAACCAGGATGATTACCTCATACAACGGCCCAGCCCCGGGCTGGAGATGATTCTGGGCGGTGGGCGGGCGAATGGGACGCTGCGCGGGGTGGGTATTTCTGACGATGACGAGGTTGATCCTGTTGTTGCTTCGTATTTGAGGCGGGCTGGGGCGAGAAATCTTGATCTTGCTCGCACTACTGACACTGGTCGCACTAATACGGTCACGGGAATAGGGCAGACGCAGACGGAGGCGCAAGAGGAAGAGGACAGCGCCACCAACGCCAATAGCAAGAAGGAGCTACAAGCGAGTCACGAGTGGACGGGCATCATGGCCTTCTCGCGCGACGGCAGGCCGTGGGTGGGACAAGTGCCCGCCGGGACCGTCCTCGGCGGCGGGGAAGGGCTGTGGGTCTGCGCCGGGTATACCGGGCACGGGATGCCGCAAGCCGCGCTGTGCGGGCGGGCTGTGGCGGGTATGATGATCGGCGGCGGCGGCGACGGCAGCAGCAGGAGGGAGGATGACGTGGATGGGGAGGAGGAGCTTCCGGCTGAGTTCTTGGTCAGTGAGGAGAGGGCTGAGAAGGCGAGGGCTTTGCCTTCCATCAAGGAGATGGATGACTTGGATATGTTCTTGTTGTAGACAAAGGTGCCTGTCGTGGCGAATCTCTGTGCAACTTCGGAATAGGGGCGTGTGTAAACGGTGCAGTTCCTCTGCGAGTTTTCGACGTCATCCTCTGTACAGCATAGGTAGCTCTTGCAGCTACAAAAGCCCCCAGTCTGTGGCAATGAATAGATCACCTAGACCTCGTCTTCCAACTCAACGAGATATCGGGATATCGGTCCTCTGTGAACAGTTTCCCTCGCCAAAATGGAACAACAATGAGGACAAGGCGCATTGCGAAGATGGGACTGGACTTAGGCCATCTCTCTTTCTCTCGTCCTCGGCTCGTGAAACCAACCTTTACCAAATAAGTCAAGGCAACTGAGGCGCAGGCAGACGAGGAATGCTGAACCGCCGCCCGGCTCGCTGGACTGGCCCAGGACGATCCGGATCGTTGCGGAGCGAGACACGTACAGGCCTGGGTGTCAGAGACAATCGCCTCTGCAGACTCCAGAGAGGCAAGAGAAGGGGGGGCGAGGGGGCTTTGGGGCTCGACGGCTAATGCAGCCACGGTAACAGATGCGATGCAGAATGTCTCTGTCAGGCTGGGCGATGTTTGCTTTTTCTCTCCTTTTTGGAGTTTGGACGTCACCTGAGCTGGTCGTTGGAATGTTCGACTGTGTCATTTTGCAAACCAGTGGGAGGCTAGGTTTTGCCCCTCCTTTGCCTACTATGGCGAATATTTCGTCAAATATCATTGCGTCTCGAGGGGAATCTCATGAGGGTTCTCAGACATTAAGAATGCCAAGATGTGGAAGAGGGCAGTCACTCGGCCGATTGTCCAGGAAACGCGGAGAGTGGGATTGCAGATCGAGTTCCAATAATGGGATTTTTCTACTTTTTGTTTTTGTCCTGGAAACCACATTGGTCTCAATAGCCCATTCGGGGATACCATAGGTAACACCCCTAATAGATATATACATTGAAAGTTAAGTTTAGAAACTGACCGGTGGACAAGCATATCCACAAACAGAACACCAAATGCATCCGCCCAGTTTGGACCCACGAACGGAGTACGCATACACAGGTATAGAGATATTCGTCATCACGTCATCAAAACCGTAGTTTTGTTCGTAGTCTTTTTGTTATCCAATCCAGTCCCGTGCTGTGAACCAGGCGCCGTCCTCATTCAAGTGAGGTGAAATGTGACCATAATTGTTATTGAGATTTTGAGTGAAAAATGGCTGTCTTGGGAAACTGCCATGATAGGTGATCAGCGCGGCACCTCCATTGGGAAGCGGCATGGCAAAAGACGATGAAGCACCCGCGGAACCCCAGAGAAGCTGGAGCGAGAGCGCGCACCAGTGCGCCTCTTAGTCAAGGAACTTCCACTCGACAGTTCCGCGACCAACGCCGAGGCTGCCGAAGAGTTCGAGGAAGGCCTTCTCGCTGACGTCAATGGCATCCGCCTCGCAGCCCATGCACTTGTCGCGGACGGTGGCAGTGGTGGTCTTGCCGTTGCAGGTGATCTGGACCTTCTTTCCGCAGTACGGGTTGCCGTTGGACTGGGCACCCATGACCAAGTGAGAGACGGCAACAATGTTCTCGGTGTTGTCCTTGCCGCTGTCGTCCTCACCGCAGGCGCCAAGACCAACAGCGTAGTAAGTCAGGTCACCAGTGTGCGTGATGCCGCCAGAACCACCGCCGGAACCACCAGAAGCAGCGGAAGTGGTCGCGGGAGGGGCCTGGCTGGTAGTAGGTTGAGGCGCGGGGGCGGGAGTAGTGGACGTGGTAGGAGCCGGCGGGGGAGCAACGTAGACAGAGGTTGAAGTCGGGACGGGCTCGGGAGTCGGGGTCTGGGGAGCAGGGACGGGCGTAGATGTGGTGGTGGGGATGGGAGCTGGCGCCTGCTGCTGAACGGATTCCTTGATGGGAGAAGCAGCCGCGGAAGGCTTGGTGGAGGTTGACAAGGTGGTGTAAGACGGCTGGTCGGCGGGCTCAAAGAACTGGGCGGGAACGGAGGTGGTAGGAAGCGCCGAGCTGGTGGACGAGACCTCGGGTTCAACCCAAACGGTGGAGGTTGAATCAACATATTCGGTCACGTAGGCGGTCTCGGTAACCCACTCGGTGACGAGGTGACGCTTCTGGTGCTTGCCGTGGACATGGCGGCGTTTGCTTCCATGCTGATGGGGCTGGGCAATGGCAGTGGTAGCCAGGACGGCGCAGAGGAAGGCGGCGGTCTTCATTTTGGCTTGTCGAAGACTGTGTTGGTAGTCGAAGTGGTTTTGGTTTGTGTGATCCAGGAGACTTATACGGCCTCTTGATAGTAAAGTTGGTGATCGTCCTTTCCGTCAAGGTGGAGTTGGAAGCGAAATGAATGCAATGGGCTAAGCCTCTTGATCAGGGAATGTGCTTGCTACAGCGTGGGAAGCCTGGTTGGGTTCAAGGTTGTCGATGGGAGCTCGGAGCAGTCCTTGGTATGTACTTGATGTTTGGAGGCAGACTGATTCTGTAGAGTTGGGATGAAAAGGGAGTTCACTGAACTCTCTGTGTGACGACAAGACGGGACGAATCCGTTGGTTGGTAGTTTGGATGAACCTCGAAACAGTCTTCTGTGAAGGAATGAATTGGTGGGACTGATAGTTGGTCGAGCACTGCTCAAGGGTCCAAGAAAAATGAATGAATGGGTTTGTGGTCAAACAAGAGGGAGCGTTGTTGGATGAGGAAAAGAGAGAAAAAAGAAAGATCGCAAAAGGTGTACGAGACTGGGAAGCGGATGTCGACCAGGATTTGTATGGCAGGCAAAAACTGCACCAGACGACAGGCACACAAACACGACGTTGGAGTCCTGGACAGCAACATCCAGGGCCGGCCGCAGGGCCAGGCACAGGTGAGCCACTTCGGGACTGGCGAGACTGGGCGAGGTGGGAAGAGGGGGGCGCGGAAAGCAGGGCTCAGGGGGTGTGCGTGGTAGAGGAAGAGGAGGAGGCCTGCAGGTCTTGCTAGCGCTGGCACCATTCATCCAATGCCACCACCCTCTCGCCCAACCAAGTGACGAAGGAGCTGCTGATGGTGCCCTCGGTACCTGAGAGAGCATGGAAGCGCTGTCCAGGCACAACCAGGGCCGCACCGTAGGGACGGGTAGCGTCCTACAGAAGTCGCGAAAGCCCCGAGAGGGAATAAACAGCAAAAGTGGGGGGATGACTGCATTTCCTCCACTGAGAATAGCAGTCATTAGGACGAGGTGCAAAGAGAAGAACCCCATAGTACTGGAGATCCTCCCCCTTGGCCGAGGCAGTTTCTCTGCGTTTTCTGAGCGAGTCGTCAATCGGCACTGAGATGGTTGACTTCACGGCAACTGTCGTTCGCTGACCCTGGCTCTGGGGCTGGACGTCCGAAAAAAGAACGTACCAAGACAGAAGAAGCAACTTGAACGGTCCATGGAGGTGCGAGAATAGCCCGTTGGATCCGTTAGCGCAGCCTCTTGGGAGTCTTGACCGACCTGCTCGCTGCATCATTGGCACCGGCCCACCAAGGGACAATCCTCACAAAAAAAAATACGTGCTTCGGGCCATTTCTGGCGGGCCGGGCTTGCTTCGTAGCCTTGAAGGGGATGGACTCGACTCCTTGATACGGGCGTGGCCCCCTCTTGACCCTCCAACAAGGCTCGATCGATCCACCATCTTGATGTTTGCTGGCCGTTCGCCTAAACAGCCCCAGGACCCCAAAACTGTCGTTGTCTGGAAGTCAAGCCGTTAGTCCTGGTAAGCAGGGCGGACTACTGCACACTAACCCAGACATCAGACAAGCGGAACTGGGTGCCGAGGAAACGTAAGCCGTTCGTCGTTTTGGCCAGTCAGTGAACCAGCAACTGCCAACGTCGTGACTCGTTTTGGGACTGAGAGGAAATCATCGTCGTATGGACGGCAATTGGGTTGTCGGGAAGTGGAAAGAAGATCGGACAACATAAGGTGGGTAGCGAGGCGCAGGCCATGGATCTTGGAGTTCGGGGGCGGCAGGATGTAGCCGAAAGTCGTAAAGTCTTGCCAAGTCAGCAAGCATCACATAGCCAAGTATTGAGCCCATCACATGTCTCTAGGGCCTTACCGAGACCGATTCCCTCGCGGCTGGTTTGGTAGGTATGTTCTGTCTGGTCTCTGCCAGCTGACGTGCTCTGCTATTTTGTCGCGACAATCGCTTGATCGCGGCAGACAGTGACTGTGTGACTCCGTCCCATGTCCTTGCTATTGCCCGCTCGTCCAACCTTTCACTTCGTCTCTCCACGGACTCAAATCTCTCTGTCCAACTTGCCTTGTCGCTTGTCACAATGCCATCTTGTTTCCTTCCCCGGCATTGCATGATTGGACGAACCGTCGGACAGGTGCTTGTTCCTTGAAACACGCGGAAACTGGGAAAAGGGTTCCAGCTTTTTTCGCTAGTCAAGAGTCCAGGGGGAAAAGAGGCCCAGACAGTGCCAGGGTCCGAACACCGTTGAACACCCCTCCTTGGGAATCCTGGATGCGAAAGAATGACGATCAGCCGGTGGCTCCGGGGGGCCCAGAGAGTACCGCAGTCGAGGACGGGTACCTGCTTGTCAGCCGCCAATCTTTTCGCACATTCGGGAGGGCACTCTGTGCTGCGCGGAGGCCTGCGATGTATTGCTGGAATGTGGACGGCTCGTTGCCGCGCTGGAGAGACAGGAAATATTCCAGTGTTTCTTTGCTTCATCTTCTTCTTCTTCTTCTTCTTCGTTTTTTTTGGTCGGATGAAGCAGTGTCCAGCGCCCATGGCGGCTGGCTGCGATGTAACATTGAACAAACTGTGCGCCCATGGAAACATTGAGAAACAATGGTCGAGAAATTGGGGATGTTACCTTGCCACGCCGCGGCTGCCCCCATCATCGCACGCGGCAGGTATCTGTATCCATACCTAACGTCAGCACCACACTACAGCGCAGGTGTGGATTGTTCCTGAAGTCCAGGCCAGTGCCGAGGGGCCGTCGTTGGAACATCAATTCGCGAGAGAAGAGAGACCGAGGGTAACACCAACAAGACTTCTGAAGGTATACTGTGTGTGCCTGAGGCTCCAGATGGGCACCTGCCAGCCCGAAGGAAGGAAGGGGGGAACTTGGCTGCTTGGGGAAGGGCCGAAGGGGGAGAAAGAAAATGGCAGGAGAAACGAACAGACAGGATTCCAGGAACGATACAACAATAGAACCTAACAAGGCGACGTCCAGCGCCCACGGCTCCGAGCAAACCCAGCCTGCACGGGTTCCTTGCAGCTGCAAGGTACGCGCCAATCACAATTAGACTTTGCCCTGAGCCTCCTCTCTCAGCGCAACCCTCACAGCCCGTCTGGCCCCCTGGCCCGGCTCTGATCCCGGACGATCAGCAGCTCAGGCAATGCCACATCACTTTAACCACTCACCCACTGGGCCAGCAGCCAGCTCTAGCAAGCCATTGCCCTGGAACTGTGTTTGTTGGTTCCCTTCAATTCCTCCCTCTTCCTCAGCTCTGACACGACATGCATCTTCTATGAGGGCCTATTCTGCCACTTCCGGACTTGCCAACCAACCTGCAGTAGTCGGTGGATATTCTAACACGTCGGACCACGTTCCACGAGCGCCAAATCTGCAGAAATACTCCACTCTGGCATCTCACTGGATAAGCCCTTAAAGGGCGTGCAGGAGCCTTCAGCTGGCTAAAGGTCAAGGTGGGAAGAAAACCCCTCACACTGTTTTTATTCCCGTTGTCAGTGTGTTGGACGTTGAAGTTGTGATACTTGACCGGGTCACCAGAGAGACTAACATCGGCCGCAGCAACTGTTGTATCTCATTATTCTTGATGGTCCCGGGCAAGTCGAGTAATATTTGTGCAGAGTGATGGCCTAGAACAAGCGGTCGAATATCGCAGTCCGGGTTGTTTTTATGTCCCGCTCCATCGTCTCCACCGTTCCTAACGATCATCATGGCGTATGAACTATTAATGGTGCATAAATGAATTGCTTTCTATTGATCCTAATATTCTCCATCTCATTGACGACACGGATGGAACTCCCTGCTTCCCGTCGTTGATATTGACGTAAGTTCCGGGGCACAATTACCGTCGCTCAACATCACCCATTCGAAATGCCGCAAGCTGGTCTTTGCTTGCCGGGGTACGTAATGCGATCAGGGAACCACTCGCAAGCTTGGCCATCGTCTAGCTCTTCTGCGGTCTGTCATTGTGCCGCTGGGTGAGCCACTTGAATGGCAGAATGACGGTCTCCGATATGTTTGTATCATCTCCGACGGCCACCTTGAACTTTGCTTGCTACTATGTTCCCTCTATTGTTGACTTACTCATGGCTCGAGTGCTTTGGCTTTGGCAGATGTGCCATCGTCCAGCAGAAGCAGAGTCTCTTCAACTGATGAGGAGCTCTCGCGCTTAGGAACATCTGGTGTCCCGCGGCCGAGGCGCAATGCTCTATCGCTCCAGAAATGGGGTCGCCCATTCGAAGATCACATCAAATCTAATCACTTTCGGTTCCCGTTTGAAGTCGGCTTCTTGCTTGCAAAAGTGTAGAGGAATAGGCCCTCTCTGCTGAAGACGGGGCGATCTTCGTCGACGATTTCCGTCACCAAGAACGCCTTTTGTGCCTTCTTGAGAAACTGCATGTCCGCACGTCTCCTCTTCTTGAAGCAGAAGTAGATAATCGCGTCTGGGTCCAACGCTAACAGGTTGGTCAGAGTCTCCAGCAAGAGTGGAAATGCCGGCTCGAAGTAGACGCAATCGGCTGCCAGAATGACATTGGGCTTGAAATCGACAACCTCTTGCGGTAGCGGTTCGCCCCTATGGTATTGATCAGTCATCCGTACATCAGCCGAACGGTAGCTCGAGTCCCTTCGAGTTTCCTGCAGAAGAACACCTTCGGACGTTCATGTGGACCATGTGAGTTTGAATCCATTCGAGGGTCTCGAGCATCTCGAAGATCTCAAAGCACCCTAGGCTTCCTACCGTGCACATAGACATTCTGGCCCCCGTGGCGTTCCCGGACGGGACCTCTGGGGATGGATGCGCACGGCTGGGATCAAGCGAGCTGGGGGTAAATTACTCACCAGTTCAGGATCATGGGCTTAACTTTGTCTTCGAGGCCATTCAACTTGGTGTTCCGTCCCATCAGCTCGAACATCTCGTCTTGGTCTGTGAGGTACAGTGTTTCCTGCAATCCACAACCTAAAGCCACAGCCAGTCCGACGAGTCCGCCACCGGCGCCCAGCTCAAGTCTATTTGCTCCGAAAAGCCCCGAGTCAGCTCAGTCCATAGCAATGATGTCTCCTCGTGCGATGACGGCGCTTGGACTAGGACTAGATATCATGTAGCATGGTATAACCAGTAGTAGAACATGACAGACCACGAGGCCGAGAAGAGAAGCAGACGTGGCAGTAGGTACGCAATAGAAGTGGCTTAATGACTAACATTCTCGCGCCCTTGAGGTTCTCTCGGTGGTAGCGCAGCACGTGTTTTGTAAGCACCATGCCTGCAGGCCAGGTTTGACCGCCGCATCCCGAGGCGAGATCTTCATGGAGTTGAAGGGGAGTTGACAGGAGGCCGGACATGTCATAGGCTGACGTAGTTGCGGCCTTGTAGGTGGGGAGCGGTGTGAAGTCTTCGCCAATGGCCAAGGGCGAAAACTCAGGCGAGGGAGAGCGGTCGAGTGACTCCATCTTCTCTGGTATGAGGGGGTTGTTGAGAATCCGCATAATGCTATTGTGTGTGAGAAGCAGCCCAGGGAGCGCACGGAAACAGCTTGAAGTAATAAGGCGAGGCAAAGTAGGTTGAGCTTATTGGCAGTAGGCCGACACAAGCGGCTAAGCGGTGCTCTTTCTACTTAGGCAGGCAGTGATTGTCGGGAAACGGTGCAGATCTACCTAAGGTAAAGACTGGAGGCTAGAAGTAAAAATGGCAGGCACGGAAGAGCGGTATCGCTGGCCTTTTTTTGCATGGGATTTTATTTTTATTTTATTTCAACGTCCGTTTTGCTGAGGCCGACGACAATCTAGACTTTCCGATAAGGGGAGGTGCGTTTTGCCTCAAGCGGGGTTGCCCCTTCTTCGCTGCGCGCTTTCCGCTTCAACCATGTTCAGGGTCCTGCACTCTCCGCTCTTTCCAATTTGTTTGGCAACGACGGTTGATTTGAGCCTCACTGGCATGCGGGTGACATAATCGATTTCCTGCTATTCATCTTCATAAGTACCCCTTTCACTGCTCATATCATAATTACTACCCTTTATATTAAAGTTCTTCTGAGGTATATACTCAGAGGAATATACTCTGCCTAATAGATATTAATGCTAGTGATAATAGCGGTGGAACTGCTTGTCGGATGTGTGAGGCGGAAATCAATTTTGTCACCCACTTGACTGGGTAGAAGCGTGGCTTGTGTGGGTGGAAATCGGAAGAAGCCTTCGTTACGCTCCGGTATTGCGGGATACCCAAGCAGGGCTTACCTAACAAAAGGGAACCACATGTCCTGCCCTCCTGCCTCTCCCAAGTACTCCCGATTACACCATCTTATCCTCCTGTCAAGCACAAGACCGAATAAGCTTGACGAATGTATTGTCCAATGTAAAGCAATGGACTGTTTAATCAACCCTCGAACTAACCCGCAGAACAAACCTAATACATTCCGGACCTCGTCGAACCACACGTTCCGAGTGGACATGTCTCATCCCGCCTCCCTCTATGCCTCAGGGCCTAACCTATCCCCAACACCCTTGAGGCGCTTCAACCCGCCGCTGGAATGCAGTCCTCGATTAGTCGCCTTCTGACACTCCAAGTATGGCAAGTGAACCTTTGCCACGCTGAAACGATTGCTTCTTCGAGTGAAGTAGTACCCTCCGTTGACCGACCACATGGAAGGGCGGCAGTTCGGGGAGGACGCGCCCACCCACGAATCCCTTCTCAGGGCGTGATCACTGGCACGAAGGGAGACACGTAGCACCAGAAAACGAGAGCCATGGACCACGAGATTCGCGCCGAGGATATCCTCTACGGGTAAAGTTATCGTCCTAGGCTTCTCTCGTTTCTGATGAGATAACCTTCTGTTTGACATGGTCTTCTCTGATTGATTTTGTTTTTGTTTTCCGCTCCTCTGGCTCGCAGATGCCGCTCCTTTCGTACAACGCATCAGTCATGGCAATGTACGTGATGTTGTCTGTGTTCCTGAGTCTAGCTGCGCTTGCAGGAGCCGTACCAGTCGTTTACTTCCCATTCAACTCTCAGCTACCACCTGCGACGAGGATATCGGAGCCATTTTCGTACACTCTTTCACCTCAAACGTTTTCTTCGCAATCCCGACTATCTTACAGCCTCCTGAACTCGCCGGCATGGCTTTCGATCGATGCTAGCACCGGCCGGCTCTCTGGAATCCCCGAAGACAAAGATGTTCCGGCAGGAGAAGTTGTGGGCATCCCGGTGGACATCGTTGCAACGGACGATTCTGGGTCTGCTACGATGACGGCCACTCTCGTGGTGACGAGGAGGCCTACACCCAAGCTCAATATCCCGCTATCAGAGCAAATTAAGAATTTCGGTGATACATCATCGCCATCTGCCGTCGTGGCCTCTCCCGCCTCCGACTTCTCCTTCACATTCGCCAAGGACACGTTCTCTTATGCTGGAGATGGGCTAAACTACTACGCCACTTCCGCAGATAGCAGCCCTTTGCCTTCGTGGATCAAGTTCGACGCTGGCAGCCTCACATTTGCCGGGAAAACACCACCATTCGAGTCTCTCGTCCAGCCGCCCCAAAAATTCGACTTCAGCCTCGTTGGTTCTGACATTATCGGATTCTCGGCTGTTTCCGTTGTGTTCTCCATCGTTGTTGGTGCCCACAGATTGACAACAGACACGCCTACAATCGAAATCAACGCAACGCGCGGGACGAATGTGTCATATACTGCACTCGCCGGTAGTATCAGGTTGGATGGGAATTCTACAACGCCATCCGAGCTGAACCTCACCGTATCCGGCCTTCCGAGCTGGCTCTCGGTCGATAATAATACTTTCGAAATCCAGGGTAATCCCCCCGAGGATGCAAAATCTTCAAACTCTACGCTCACTTTCCGGGATGTATACTCTGATACTCTTGACATTATTCTATCGGTGTCCGTCGTTACGCGAATCTTCCGGAACACAAACTTGAGCATCGAGGCGACACCGGGAAAGAACTTCACCTTCGACGTGGAACCGTATCTATGGACGCCTTCAGACATTGATCTAAGTATCGACTCCTCAGCAGACTGGGTCAATGTCGATGGCTTGGTCATATCGGGAATGCCGCCCAAGACTACATCCCCCGAGAATATTACAGTCAACGTCAAGGCGGCATCAAAAAGCTCAGAGGAGACCGAGACGGTGACGGCAGACTTGGAAGTCTTACCTCTACCAGCCACTACTACCACCGATTCTCCCACATCTTCTACTAAGCCAACAAATCCCGCGCCTACAAGCGATCCGCAACAAGGCTTGAAAGCTGGTTATATCGCACTGGCGATTCTCTTACCACTTCTATTCCTCGCCATTGTTGTCCTCTTAATCATATGTTGCCGGAGGAGGCAAAAGCGAGAATCGATCCACGAGAACTTCAAAAACAGCATATCGGAACCAGTACCTGGATCGTTTGTGATGAACGGAGGGGCTCACAGCAGAGACGGATCATCGGTTGGGGATTTGAAGAAGCCTGAGGACAATCGACGCAGCAGGGGTTATTTCAACTCTGCTGTACAAAAGATGAGACAATCGAGGACGCTTTCAACCATTACCGGCTCTCGTATGTCACAGTCAAATACGAACAACCGCTCATCATACTGGAGGGGATCTGAAAGAAGCCCTACGCCGAGATCCCCATCCGTCACGTCGTCCTGGCTTACAGAGGGCGTCCTGTTTCACCCTCAGCACACGCATCAGGGATCGACGAGCACCTACGACGGCCCGAGTGACGTGCTATCTGGATCTTCTGGCTTTCTCCAGGGTCAACGAGATGATTCTTTCCGGAGCGTGCTGGACGTCACCATCCCGTCTATAAATGCGGAAACAAGTAGTATCCAGGCAACACCTGACCTTGCTTACACGAGCCCGTGGGGAGAGCCATCCAGATTGACCCTCGACAGGTCGCAGCTGCTACCGGGCGCCTCTGGCTCTGAAAGTCTGGCCTCGATCCCAGAACAGCCAACGCCATTGGGCTCAAATCCCACGAATGGCAATAGGTTTTCGCCGTCACAACGACCACGGAAAGCTTTTCCTATCATGAGTGACTTGGGATCACAAAGCAGTCTTCGCAGCTCGAGATCGGGATCAGGAAGGGGCAGGTTCGTTCGGCAGGATTCAAGGCCGGATTCGCGTCATGGCTCAGTTTCACGACCGATCAGCAGGAAGTCTGACTCAAGTCCCTTCTTCGGCGGTCGCTCAGTCGTTCCCTCGCGCAACAGGTACATTCTGGACAGCGACGACTCTGATTCCCTCGAGTCGGCCAGGGGTACGGAGAACTGGCGGACGATACCGCCACCGAGAGACTCGCTCGGCATCGCCTACGAGGAATTGACACGAAGCTCTCCCTTTATGAGACACACGCCATCGCTGTCTCCTCGGCCTCTCAGCATCATCAAGAAAGACTCGAGCGGGCCGGTGAACAGGGACAGCCGGGTAGGCAAGCAAACTCCTCTGTCACGGCAATCATCATCCAGCTCCAACATCATGGCCGGACGCTGGAACAGGGACTCTCTCATGCAGCGACGTGCCTCGGGCAACCGGCCTGATTACGCATCATCAAGGGCAAGCAGCGAAGTGCTGGGCAAGGGGAAAGGGCTGGCGCGATACTCGTCGGGGCCCGAGTCGGAGGGATCTGGCTGGGTGACGGAAGCCGGAACAGTGGGGAACAAGGGTCCTCGGAGTCGGCGAGACAGCAGCAGTGAGGATTTCCGCGTGTTCATGTGAGAAAAGGTGACGAGGGTGGGCGGGATGGCCACACCTCGTTACCCCGCGATATAACTTGTCTTTCGTTCAGAAGCGTCTTTGCGATTTTGTTATACCCGCCCCGAGCAGAGTCGCTTGCTCAAGTGTTTTTCTTTACTTGATTTAGTCCGTTCTTTGACGATGGAACGTGGGAACTATGGATATGAGGATCTAGTAATTTTTTGGTATGGAGAAGAGATAAAGACCACCACCCACAACCCTGTCCAGGTAAACCCAGACCGTAATGTTGAATTGGCGATGCCACAAAAGTTTATTATCTAAGAGGGCGGACCCCTTTTTCGTGTGTCTGTTTAGCAAAATCCCGCTGAGTCTGTGCTTCCGGAAAGGCTTGTAAGTTGTGGGGTTGGCTAACTTGGCTCGCATCGCGCCCACGGCACGCTTACGGCAGCACCAAATGGCAGATGCTTAGCAAAATGAATTACTTAGGTAAGCAAGCCAAGTGGAGAACGTTCACCCTCATGGGCCCCTGGCTGTCCTGTGCCCCAGCCTTGGATTGGCACGATTGGATAGGTAGGTAGGTATTTTAGGGAAAAGCGGCCTCTGGGGTTGATACTAGTCACTTAGATCGGATTCCCCGAAGCGACAGCAAAGAGCTTGGACCTCATTTACCGTCCATTCATGTCTGGTTGTTCAGGTCCTAGCTTCGCTCGGGCCAAGAAGGGGACGGGGGAAAGAAGGAGCACGGCGGAGAGGAGAGGGCCTGAAAAGGGGAGGGGGGAGATGGGATTCTTTTGTTTTGGCGTTAGAGCGAGAGAGGGGCGGGAGGCCCTTGCATGAGAACCGTGCAGGTTCCGTAAATATGGCAGGTGGGTAGGTTGGACTTTGACTAAACGCGATGATGGAAGTCTGTGTGTTTCTCGAGGCTTTGGTTGTGGTTTGCAGATAATTGTACCTGTGCTGACCGAGTTCAACATTGGTTCCCATGGTCTGAAATCCAAACTCTCGTAGCCGGTCAACTCCATGGACATCGGCAGTGAGAGTCCAATAGAACCTGGACCTCGTTCCAAATGCCTTACCTTAGCTTCTGTGTGGAAATTTGCCCACCTGGGTAGCATGATACGGTAGGTTGTTTGTGGTAAGCTCGCGACGTCGGGTATGACGCAACTGCAGGTAAACTCGTCTCTTTTCAGCAGGTAGTTCCGTATCGGATCCGTAGCACGCAAACCTTGCTGGGGCTTTTTCTTTTTGGGAACAGAACAACTCAGAGGCGGGCAATGACGACGAAGTTCTTGCACTTGCCGCCTCCATGAGGGTTAATGTGCCTCCTTGGGTATCGGCTACGTGGCGGCCGTTGCCAGTCTTGCTGGGACGACATATGCAAGTAAGAATGAGAGGCGCAAGCAAATCCCGCTCCGGCCGGAGACGTTGCGTTGGTCTATGGAATTGGCTACCTACACAGTTTCGCCTCGTCAAATCGTCGTTGTAAGGCTCGCTAGAACTTCGGGTCAAGTTTGTTCACTCGGTGAAATACGTTCTTGGTAAACAAGATCTTTCTTACAACTTTTCAAGGTGACTGACTTCAGGTAGGCAAGGTTGATAGATACCCACATACGATGTTGCTGAAAGAAACTGAGTTGAGGAGACATTGGTAATGTGACCAACCCCTCGTACAGATTTGATTGTTGTTGGTGCAAGGCAGTGGATGCCGCGAAGAGACCCAGACTCATACCCAGACGTAGCACTACCAGAGAAGGCATCCGTAGCGTGGCCTTTCTATCCGTACCCGATTTCGCCTCATAGTCCTGTCGCCAACTGACCTTTGAACGGATATGCAAGACTGACCCCTTTCCTGCCATGCGCTATCTTAGTTCCTTACATCAGGATAGTTGGTAGGTAAGTAAGTAAGGTAAGGTATGTAGTATCTTTGTGATGGTCGAGATTGGTAGTACGTACCGCCTCCTCGCAGCGTCGGAGTCACCACACTTCGACTTTACTACCCTTCCATAGATATGGAAGGTACCTACCTACCTTACCAGGTACCTACCTAGGTAGAGCAAGTCGGGGCCAGCAATCCGGGCAAGCAACTGCTCGCCCCAGCTTAGGTTGTTGTCCGCGGCTAGGCTGTCCTATCCTGCCCTGTCCTGTCCCGCGTTGCTTGCGCTTTCCGTATCGCACAGCAACTCTGTTGACCCCGGGGCTACCTACCACTACCACACACGCTCTCGCTCTGCCTTACAACACACCAACTCACCACTCACCACAACACGCGACCTGGTCTCTGTTCATCACCCATCCAGAAAACTCTTCCTACTCACAACCTCACCCACACCGAGCTACGATTGAGTTCGGGTCATTTTTTCCCTCCTTCTACCTCCCTCACTTCTCTTGCGCAACCTCACAATTTTGGCGCGACCAATTTCCTCGCATTACCGCACCCCGAACTCGACCCTCTACTACCTGTGATAGCAGACCCAACATCTCTTAGGGATCGACGCCTGTCCCCTGCCCATTTCCCTTGCGATTCGGATACCCCGCTTCCTCTCGAGTGTGCGCGATCTAGAACCTTTTGCTACCGCACCACCTTCCTGTCACCTCGCCTCTTTTTTTCCTCACAGCCTTCTTGCGCACGCACGACTGGCACTGAAAAAATTTCTTCTCTTTGGCAACCTTACGATATCGACGTACGCTTCCGACTACGATTTGACCGACCAGACATCCAGTCAAACCCGGTAGCTGTGCTGCCGACTCATTGCATCCGTCACCATGGGTCAAACTCTCTCCGAGCCCGTTGTCGAGAAGGTATGTCATAATCTACCGCTACCCTCACCTCTCCCCGAGACGCGCTGCTCTCCCTCGATATGCCCATCATTACACCCTCATACTCAATCTACTCCTTTGCGGCCTCTTCCTCTTTGTTCGCAGCCAGCCCCGGGGTCCCCTCCGACCCTCGCCTGCCTTGGCCGTTCCTGCCGGTGATATCGCGCGGGCAGGCGACACAGCAAGGTGGCTTGGATTTGTTTTTCGCAGCAACGATCACTCGATGACGTATCTCTACAACTCAACAGCCTCTTGGTTCAACCTACTGACTTTACTTCTCACAATTATAGTCCTCGGCCAAGGGCGAAGATGAGCGCCTTCTCTACGGCGTCTCTGCCATGCAGGGCTGGCGCATAAGCATGGAGGATGCTCACATCACCATCCTCGACCTTCTCACCCCCGGCAGCGACGAAGCCAAGAAACACGAGTCAAAACTCTCCTTCTTTGGAGTCTTTGACGGACATGGCGGCGACAAAGTAGCCTTGTTCGCTGGAGAGAACATTCACGACATCATCAAGAAGCAGGAGACCTTTAAGAAGGGCAACTACGAACAGGCGTTGAAGGATGGCTTCTTGGCAACCGATCGGGCGATTCTTAACGGTAAATTCACAATCTCGGATTCGGCAGTACCTGGAGGCTCGGCTGTGCTGCAGTTCTGGCCCTCACCACTTGTTGCCCCCTATGCTGCATACATGAGCTAACCTTGGGGTGTACCAGATCCCAAGTACGAAGAGGAGGTTTCTGGCTGCACTGCCTGCGTTGGCCTGATTTCGGACAACAAGATCTACGTTGTGAGTTTGCTTACGTCCGCTTTTGCGCGATGTATTCGCATTACTTACCGACCGTTCCGCGACTAGGCAAACGCTGGCGACTCGAGAAGCGTTCTTGGTATCAAGGGACGGGCTAAGCCCCTGTCCCAGGACCACAAGCCCCAGCTCGAGGGTGAGTACTAGGCCATGGCAAAGGCAACAATACCTGAAGCTGACTTGAAATCCCCCCATAGCCGAGAAGTCCCGTATCACAGCCGCCGGTGGCTTTGTCGACTTTGGCCGTGTTAACGGCAATCTTGCTCTCTCCCGCGCCATTGGTGACTTCGAGTTCAAGAAGAGCGCAGAGCTCTCGCCCGAGGCCCAGATCGTCACCGCCTTCCCTGACGTCGAGACCCACGAGATCAGCGACGACGATGAGTTCTTGGTCATTGCTTGCGACGGTAAGCTGGAAGCGCCGGATATGAGGAAGGATATCACAGGCTGACAGTATTCTTAGGTATCTGGGATTGCCAGTCTTCTCAGGCTGTTGTCGAGTTCGTCCGTCGTGGCATTGCGGCTAAGCAGGAGCTGGACAAGATCTGCGAGAACATGATGGACAACTGCTTGGCCTCCAACTCGGAGACCGGAGGTGTTGGCTGCGACAACATGACCATGTGCATCATTGGTCTTCTGCGCGGCAAGACCAAGGAGGAGTGGTACGAGGAGATTGCCAAGCGGGTTGCTGCTGGAGACGGACCTTGCGCCCCTCCCGAATACGGTACGACTGAATCCACGTCCGAATCCACATCTTCCTAAGGAGTTGAGCGCGCGCCGACCTCCATCTGCACTATCATGAGACCAGTCTCTTTATCCCCATAATACAACCATTATCCCCCTTTTTGTAGCCATCGTTTGTTTTTGTGTTCCATAATTTCTTTCCAAAGGAGGAGCGCTGATCCATCACCTGCAACTAGCTGAATTCCGCGGTCCGGGAGTTCACCACAACTTCGACGACAGTGACAGCGGCTACGACGTGGATGTGGAGAACAAGGGCAAACCCTTCGGCATTGGTGGCTACAAGGGCCGCATCATCTTCCTTGGCGACGGCACTGAGGTTCTGACCGACTCTGACGACACGGAGATGTTTGACAACGCTGAGGAGGACAAGGACCTCGAGAGCCAGGTCTCCAAGGCCTCTTCGGCAACCAGCAAGGATAGCGAGGCTGAGGACAAGTCAGCCCCGAAGACGGAGCAGGCCAAGGCGGCGGACAAGACCGCAGAGGAGTCAAAGCCGGCCGCAGTTCCCGCGTCTACAGAGGAGGGCAAGGAGAAGTGAGCTCAGCGGCCGGGAATATCAAATTTCTATACCTTGATGAATGACGTGGGCGTGCACTCGGGCCTGGAAGAGACCGGACTCAACGGATCCGTATGACTTTTAAGAAGGCTTGAGAGACT